GCCTTGTCCTCAAGTTTATATATTCAGTGTATTTCAATTGCACTATTGACTTATAATCGAGTGATAATGTGTCGCCATTTGATGCAACCACTTTCCTCCTAACCGAGTTCAGTGTGTTTATGAGACCTAATGAAGGCATTCTCATTTTATAACCCCTTATATGGCTCTAGGACTAGGAATTTTGCTACCTTTGGCTAATCAAAAGTAGGTAACAGGTTGGTCTTGAATTCTTTATTTCTATTATTATTGGTGATATTCGTTTCGTGTGAAATTATCTGATAAAGGGATCCCTAAGTCGACCTAACATATTCTTCTTTTCTAGGAAAGACGATCGTATTTATGCCCAGCTTCGTGCTCTCGGCAGTTCCTGTGATTGGTCACGTGCCCGCTTCACAATGGACGAAGGCCTTAGCGCTGCGGTTACCGAGGCTTTCATTCGACTATATGACTCCGGGCTTATCTATCGAAGTACCCGTCTTGTAAACTGGTCCTGTTGCTTGCGCTCGGCTATCTCCGATATTGAAGTGGAGAAGCGCCAACTGACAGGGCGTACTTTGATTCCCGTTCCCGGTTACAAAGAGCCAGTTGTCTTCGGCTTGCTCACTTGCTTCGCGTATCCCCTCATACGTTAGACCTTTTTTAACCTTTTTATTTATGCTATATTTTCTAATACAACGGCTATCTGAAATTAATTAAGGCGAAACAAAAGAGTTCTCTTAGAAATTTTATTAACAGAATAGGGACTTACAAAGTATCTGCGTTTTTTCTGCTTGAAGTCGGAGTAATTAATTATAATAATTATCGGCACCCTTTTTGAAGTAAGATACTCCTTGCTCTCTTAAAAGATCATTTGGTGTAAAATTCATCGAGGCCCTTATTCATTTATTTCCAAAATATTTGGTCCGAATGAGTATTTGGAGTAAAAGCTTCCTTTGATGCTTCCAATATGCATGAATACTACTCCAAAAAGAGTGTCTTATTCTTTTCGAGTTCAGCCTGACAAAGTACACTCGAAGCATCGCTTAAAAAAATTTTGGGTATAAGACTCACCGCTGTTTGTCATAAATACTATTTATCAAACTGTTAACCTAACGTGGTTAATCTGATTTTCAACGGCGAGACATACTCTCAAATTGCTTTTAATGTCTAGATTAAACTAGAGTTATATTTATGCGATTGGACTTTTATTTTTTATAGTTTAGGTTAAAGGGACCTATAAGTCAACTTTACCAAAAACTAAAGGAAGCTTGAATTTGATTTTTTTATAATTAATTTGTACATAGAAGTTGTAATGACCTATTCCCACACTTTTCCCATTCAATGTTTAGTTTTTATTACATCCCATACATAGCCATGCCTCAACATCCTTTGGCGTAGAGACCACGCGAGTGACTAATCTTCACTCTTTATTTCGCGTCGTTCAATCAAAGCTTGGTACCGCATCGTCCAATCAGAAGTTGACATTGAAAACTACGCAAGGGTATATCAAGTAGTTGACATCCTGTTCAAATTGGTCACGTTCTTTTCCTTCTCTTTCTCCCCTTCGTTGTGGTCCGTGGAGTTTAGAATGTTATATTTCGCGCCATCTCTAAACGACTCTTTCTATTATATCTGGGGGATTTTATTTAAATGATGATTTCTCGACCTGTCTATTTCTGCTACGAGGGGACAGATATTGGCTCAGCACGCATTCCTCGGAGCCACATAACGGTATTCCAACCATGAGTTTATTTTTCTTTGATTTCCAGTGAAGCCAATTTACAGATCCATTCGCTCTGCTTTTTCATATGAAACTGGGCCTTAGTGAACTCGAATTGTGCCTCCTTTTAACAATAATGCTAATTTATTAGAAACTCTTTTCTGCATCGGTTTAACTTGTCCTTTATTTCATAAATTAAAGCGTAGATTTCCTAGCGTTCACCTTTCGTAGACAGCTAGTTCCAAAGCCTAGTTGTCAATTTCAATTCCAAGATTATGCTTTTGGTAATCGGCTAGCATACTGATTTTTAACTGCATTTCGGTCAAACCCGACCTACGCTTCAGGCCAAAAACAGTGTTAATGTAAGGCAGAGTTGAAACTGAGTATGACAAAGACGTTAAGACGTCAAGACTTGATACTCGTCGACTAACTCATCTTTAGACGCTTAGCTTTTATTGCCTATTAACTAAAATAGCGCATAATCCATTCTTGGTGTTACTGGACACCAGTAAAGTATAGTTTTGTTACTGAAATAAAAATGGTATTTTAGAAACTTGCTACTATTTGTCATTTAATGAAGACTCCCTATTCACATAACCATCTACTCCTGTGGCATCATTGCTCAGTGTCCATA